GCACTGGAGTAAGTTGTTGTCTTACATGTCTGGCATGCAGGGTTCTTCAGGTGTCACTGTTCACACGATGCTTTTTCTTCAGATATACCAGCTCTCCTTTGAGACTGAATGCTTGAACGTCTTGAGTCTGAGGGTACAGTACACATGAGAGTAAAGCTACTACTCTTCTTGCGATTTTGTAACGTGGGCAAGTTCTTACGATGCTGGTGTTTTTCACTGCAGCCTATTTGCTAGAACCAGATAATCTCCATATTGATAGAAATGCCTGTTTTATTCTGAAAGGTAAATAGAGGTCTGTTGTCTTAATCCAGAAAGGAGAAACGACTGAATCATGACTGTAGGCTAGAAAGCACGCAAAAGAAACTAGCATGTGCCCCTTGAACCTACATGTGGATTTCTTTGCTAAGTACTTAGTATGGATATATTTTCCATGCGTTGTAAGCATTGTCAGAAAGCTCTACCTTCCCTTGCGTGCTTTGAGAGCTGTTACATCACTGGTTTGAAAATTGATCACTTGATAAGGCACCAATGTCTTATTGACTTAAGGATTTTGATTGCATGCTCTGCATGTGTACTAGTTTAAAGTCCGTTTTGGTGCCAGGAGGGTTTCCATCCCAGGCTGGCAGTTTCCTTGCATCTTGCAGATCAGACACTGTCAAAGGCAGACTTCTTAGAAGTAGGATCCAAAACTAAGAAAATACTCCATAGTATGCAACACAAGTTAGCACACTGATTTTTTTGAAGTTGTTTTCTCACAGTTTAGGATGCAGTTCATATTACTTAATCCAGTTTAACTGGACTGCTATTGAAAGAAATGGACCTGGTCCATCTACTCTCTTTTCTGACCCACTTTCTCACTACAGATCTAATGTAGCCAGGGCAAGTCAGGCCAGTTTCTTGACTCTACAAAAAAAAAAAAAAAAGGACTTGCTTAAGTGTTCAGTAGGGGTACAGTTCCTAAAAGGAATTATTATATGCCTTTGCATGTTGAGACTACCTCAGGTGAAGACTTTCTGATTACCTACTTAGATGTTGTTTTGTGGAGGTACTTTCCTTGTCTTTTCTTTGAATCTTAGGTGGCAGTAGCAATATATTCTATATCTTCTTGTTACCTATGGAAAGAAATACACTAATAATACCATAAATAACATCATGTCGAATCACTCTGTGCCGCTCTATTGAGATCAAGATTCAGCTCTACCACTTACTGCCTCCATATAACTGGGTGGTTTTGAGCTCTTAGGCCAGATACTGTCTGTTCTGTTACATCCCGTTTTTTCTGTGTCTGACTATGCCCTAAGATCTCTAGAGATTATGAATCAGGTAGACAAACCTTTGCAGGACTAATCTGCCTCCTTCTCCTTCCCACAAGCTTAATTTTGTTAGTAAGAAATCTTTGTGTGTATCCTTAATGAAACAGATTGCAAGGCTAGCAGTGGGCTCGGTGTACTGGAAAGTCAATCAGTTCTCTGGATATTTATCACCATTGTCTTAAGCTACGCCTTTGGCTCTTGTGTGAGTGTATGTGGCATTGTTTTCACGTAGTCTATGAGCTGTCTGGCCCAGCCTTGTCAGTTTTTGGATTGGTCATAGGTAGAACTCTCTGCAGTGGGCTTTAGGATACGTATTATATTTAAAAGACTGTGAAATGGATTGCAACTGTTGCTAGATATACACCAAGTCTTATTGATCTTTATGGTCTTTTGAGACTGTTCGTGTTTCAGTCCTCTATCTGAAAACTTCTGCCTCCCAGCAGTTGACTAAAAATGCAATTTTCATAGTTGACCAGGCAACTGAAAGTTTTTTTTCTAGTTTTGTTGTTTATCTACTGGCTGAAAAGGACTTTGAAGTTTTGTTTTTGGAAAAGACCTATAAAAAGGACAAGCTGACACCAGAATATTGCATTGTTGGTATTTACTGCTTACAATTTTGGCTTGTACCTGAGAGTATTCTTTTATGATGAATCTTCTGTTGCATATTCTCTAGGATTAAAAATCCTAACAAGTTAGTCTTCTATGGAAAGAACAATTTACATTTTTTTGATGTAAAGAACTAATCTGATTGGGATTATCTCGCAACCATTTAATTTTTGGTTTTGTTTTGTTTTTTTTAATGTAGCTGTTGATTTGTTGTGTTTTGAGACATTAATAAAAAGAATTAAAAACACTTCGAGTTTTTATGATATTTTTCTTCCTGTTCATGGGTGGCACAGAATGACCAGACCAAGGAGCTCAGGTAGCTTGTTCCTGGATACTCCAGTTGGAAATAAGCAAGTAAGCCTTAAAGCTGGAATTATCTTCTCATTTATGAGGAGGGGGAATTTAAAAAAGAGTGAGGTCTTCAGAGAAGCAGATTAATGTTTTTTTTTGTTAAGAAAGATGAGCAAGTCTTTGACTCTCAAAACAAGAATTGCACTGCCCCTTTGCAGTGTTATATCTGAAATCATCTAAATGGGTCTTTCTGAGAAAATACTCTGTGGTGGCTTGAAAAACAAGTTAGTTCTTTGTATTTAGACATTTACTGATCACTTTCCAGGTGGTTTTGTGAAAGGCTTAATATACAATGGTTTGATCTCAAGAAAGGTGAAGTAGGGATTTTTGTTTTGGGACTCACCCTGTCCTGGAAACTGTGTCTGTTCAAGAGCAGAAGTTCTTTCCCCAGCTACAATCAGTCACAAAACTGGCCTTTGACCTGTGTGGGCATCTCTGCCTCAACAGCTGTTTCCCAGTCTGCAGATGGGAGGTTGCTGTGTGCTGCCATTATTGTTATGTTGTAGGTACAAGGTTTGTGCTGGCTCGTGTTCTTCCCAGATGCTTAGCTTTCATTTTCAGTTTTGTTCCATCATTAAGGAGTATTTTTTTTTCTGGACAGCAGAGTAACTTGTGAATTACTGATCGTATTTTTTTACTTCTTCCTCACTCATGGGCCATTTGTCAGGTTATTAGCCAGAGTGTTTTCTGGATGTAGTGCTTCAAGATTTGCCTGTTAAAGGCATCCTAACAGGCATCTCAAGATGCCTGTCGAAGCTATTTTAAACTGTCATGTATTTTTTTGATTGCTTTCTCCATTTCCTTGATCTCCCCTCTCATTTGAGGGTCTCTTCCACTGTAACTGTTCCATGTTCATCAATATTTGATTCTTAAGCTAACCACTGAGCATTGTAAGTTTCCTGGTAGGGGTGTGTGTTTTGAGATAAGTCTACTGACACAACACTCTAAATTCATAATTTTAAATGGAGGAGAACTTGGACAAAGCTTTATTCTTCTGATTCTTCCTTCACTTCTGAATCTTCAAAAATACCAGTCATGCTGAAGAATACCAGTGATGCAAATGAAAGATCAGTCCTTAGTATGTGTTGCAAAGCGTAACTTTTAGCATGAGATTTATGTTGTTGAAGATTGGGCTGACTGATTTGAATAGTTTAAAACATAGTGGAAATTTTCATTCTGTCTCTGGTGGTTTGCAGTCATGAAGAACACATAAATGGAGTTATATCTCCTCTGTTGTGGTATACCTGCATTCTTGCCAACCTCATACTGTATTTTCAGAATTCTTAAGTCATGATCTTATCTGTGATAACAGTTGCGAAGTTGTAGAAACTGTTAGTACTGGAGTTTGATAGTTTGGGTATGGTATCATGTGAAATGTTTTGAGCAGATTTCTAATGCTGATGAGCTTTTTTGACTTATGTGCTGTTTAACTGTAGTCTTTTTCCATTAATATTTGGGCCAAGTCATCTTGTCAGCCTCTCTAGAATTCAGTGTAATTGACATTTCCTTTAATATGCAGTTGCTGAGGTAATGAGTAGGGGTTTAGATCATTGTCTAGGTCTAGAGTTTTTGAAAATGCAATGCAATACCTCCTACAGAGCATCCATGAAATGACCTTTCTGGCAGAAGTGGTGCTGAAATGTTCCAATAGTTAACATAAAAAAAAAAAAGAAAAAACAACCCTCCTCTACTAGGTATCCTCCTATTCCAAATAGTAAGCTTTACAGCCTAGTTGTGCATAGCTGCATCACACAACAGCTCAGCTTTTAGCCATGAACTTTCTAGGGTTTTTTTTCGCTACCATAGATTAAATATACAGGTCAAGGTGCATGCTGCTTCTGCAGACCTAAGAACTTCCTGTTTTCTTGAGCAAATTGATTCTGGGTACTGTGTAATATTCTTGTATCTATATATCCCAAATAGTAATCTTTCTCCAGTTGGTTACCTTGGGGATTGCTTTGCATGGGCTCTTGAGATGCGAATTTGACTTTTCATCCTAGTGTGTTTTCACAGCTTCATGGCCAGGAGGGTTACTTTAACTGTTTTCTGACAGTGTTCGTTGTGGGAAAATACTGGCTGTTCAGTGAAGTTCAATGGAATTTTGCAATTCTGTGCTGGGAATGACTGGATGTGGAAGATTAAAAAAAAAAAAAAAAAAAAAAAGGCAACCGATGCCCAATAACAAAAAAACCTCAAAACCCAAACAAACATACACCCCCCCAACCAAACCTCTATTTACTATTTTATAAATAGTAAACATTTTTTTGAAACTGTATTACTATATTAGTTATGTCTGTTCCAAAAGTGACAGAGTTCAGTGAAAGACAGTGCTTTCCCATCAACCTTTTAATTCTTTGTAATAATTGTCTCATTCCATTGGCTAACTCTGTGGGATTTTTTTAATACCTTTTTTTCTGCTCCTTCCTTGTCAAATTTCTCAAGTTGAGAGATCATAGTCTGAGATACCCAGTGATCTTTCAACACAGACTGTTGTAGGAGAGTGAAGTAGAATGGTCTTCTCTAATTTAGACTCTGTAAAGTTTAGAAATTACTTTTACCACAACAAATTAGATAGTTTTCAGTAATGACTGATAAGGGAATTTTTCTGGAACATAGAAAGTGAAGTTTTGCTAGTTACTTGAAATAAAAATAGAAACTGATGAACAAGATTTTTTCTTCAAGACTCTACTGATTGCTCTGACCTTGTATAAAATTTGTTTTGTTTTTCAGATTTTGGATCACTGTTTGATCTGGAACATGACTTGCCAGATGAACTGATCAGCTCCACAGAACTGGGACTCACCAATGGTGGTGACATTAATCAGCTGCAGACCAGCCTCAGCCTGGCACAAGATGCTGCCTCTAAACACAAGCAGCTGTCTGAACTTTTACGGGCTGGTAGCTCCCCAAATCTCAATATGGGGGTTGGTGGCCCTGGCCAGGGCATGGCCAGTCAAACCCAACAAAATAGTCCTGGAATGGGAATGTTAAACAGCATGGTGAAAAGCCCCATGGCACAAGCTGGGTTGACTTCTCCCAATATGGCGATGGGTGCAAGTGGACCAAACCAGGGTCCTTCAGGCCAATCCACAGCAGGAAACCTGGCATGGGAATGAACACAGGGATGAATGCTGGCATGAATCCTGCGATGTTGGCAGCAGGCAACGGACAGGGGATGATGCAGGGGCAAGTCATGAACGGTTCAATTGGAGCAGGCAGAGGGCGACCTAATATGCCATACCCAAACCCAGGAATGGGTAGTGCTGGTAACTTGTTGGCTGAGACACTGCAACAAGGCTCTCCACAGATGGGAGGACAGGCTGGACTGAGGGGGCCACAGCCTGGAGCCATGAACAAGGTAAGACAAGCTAAGTTTGACTTTATTACCGTCCTTCTTGTTGACTTTGTTTTGTAAGATGTATTCCTCTGCAGTATGGGTTCTGTAGAATAGGATTTTTTCTTTTACGACTCCTGGATCATGTGGTAAATAGTTTATATGCTGCTAAAGTGGAATTTGTGGCAGTCATGGGAGGCAAAAACAAGCACAACAAGCAAGACTATTGCTAGATTAAAAAGACTATTTTAGAAATCTTCTGGCAGTATAGATTATCAACAACATTTGAAAAGTAACTTGATTGTATTTTATTCTGTTTTATGCTTTGTCCACAAATGTATTTTCCCATCTAATGTCATGCTGGTATTGTGAATGTGATGGAAATCCATCAGGGCCTTTTAGATGTTGTGGTGCTTTTTTTCAGCGTGATACTTAGTGAGAGCATTTGTTGTTGGAGATCAGCATTTGTTTATGCTGTAGCAGATGAGAAGAGGTGGATACCAATTTGAATGGACTGGTACGTTGTATGTGCAAAGACATACATTGACCTTGTTAAGAAACACACATTTGAGTTGTTGGTGGAGAAAGAATGCTTGCGTAAATACCTGAAGACGAATGCTGGATTCTTAAAGACTGTTAATCCAGCCCAGTTCTAGTTTTAAAATTTAGAAAGGTTTTGTATATAGGAGAGTAAACCAGAAAGCTGAAAAAAGCCCCTTGTAATTTCGGAGTTTAGAAGAAAGTTGTTGTGGGTCACTCTGAAAAGGTGAGAGAAGACCTAGTGGTTGAAGTTACAAGGAGATGTCTAAAATTTTTGTCATGCACAATTGGCTTTTTTAGAGTAGGGAGCCAGTTGAGTATTTCTTATCAAGTTTTTTGTGTTTTGATCAAAAGCCTAGAAAATACTTAAATATTTCCATTCACTTTAGGGGTGGGTATTTTGTGTTTCTTGGCTAGTGAGGAGAAAGATTGTCTAAGGTGCTTTGCGGTACCTGCGTAGATCTATCTTGGAATGCCTGAAGTCAGTCCACTTTGGAAGGCTTGGAATGATAAGTAACATAGTCTATAAATGTATTTGAAACATAAATTAAAATTATGCTCTGTATTAATGGTTTTGCTATGCTTTAATGTATTAAGTAAAATTATTTCAGTGTCTAGTGAACGTTATTAATTATGAAGTTATTTGATCTTAGCCATTTGCTTAAGCTCAGTGTTCAGCTAACAATGGTTCTGATATATTTTATGTCTAGTCATGAGTTATTTTGTGGTCTGGTCATTTCAGATATTTTTGCCTGATAGGAAAGTTGTAGCAATCAAGCTTTGCAACAGTAGAAAATTTGTATGCAGTTTACAGTGGAAAGAAATATGTAACTACTTAGAAGTATTCTTGTATTGGAATTATATAATGTCTCATTCATTATTCCTTGGCTGAAAAAAAATTTAATCTTCAGAAAGCTGTATTCAGAGGTAAAAAATTTGATGTATTAGGTTTTGAGTGAAATGAAACTTCTTAATCCTTACTTACCAGAGCTAAAGTAGGGTTATGAATTATAATAAACTAATTTATCTAGGAGAAGTAAAGAAAGGACACAAAATGAAGCTTTTGGCTGATGTAGTCCAAAATTAAATTGTCTTCCTCACTTGCTTAAATTCCAAAATGTGCTGTACATCTAAAGTAAGAACATCTTGTGCTTTTGGGAATATTCAAACCAAATATGTGATAACTTCTGGTTTTTAGTTCATAGTCCCACACTGATTAAAAATGCTTAGAGTTCTTTAATTGCTGATAAAAAAAAAAGTTGAGACTTTTAGTGTAAGTATAGTGGGTATAACCCTTGTAAAGGAGTTGAAACTGCCGGATGAGAAAGAACAGTCTGAAATGGAGGCTGAAATTCCAGAATGTCTTCAATTGGTTTGGTTGTTGGCAGGAAGCCTGTGTTTCACTTCATGCAGTGGAGTTAGCAAAATCTGACAACAGTAATGTCTGACCGTTTTCTCTCTCCACCCATCTGCTTTTGTTTTTCCCACCTACAAATCTTCAAAAAGTAGATGAAAACAGAGGACCCTAAGCAGTTGTTTTTAAAAGCCATTTTTTTTTTAATTGGTAAATTTAGTACTGTGTTGCTGTTAATGTGGGAGTTTGTGTAATAACTTCGGTAGGTTTCCTTCATCGCTGCAAAAAATGTGCATTAACCAGGAGCTGTCCTTCAGTAGGAGAAAAAAAATAGACGAGACACTTTGGTTGTGTTCAACTTCATTGTGTTAGCTTGCCAAAGTCAGCCCCTTTAGGTGATGAGAAGGTTGCCTCTGTGAGTTCTCTCTCAGTAAAACAGAGGTGTGTTGTCTGCAGTGGTTTGTACGGAGGAATAGCCTAGGTTTCCTGTGATGTCAACTCATTGGGAGGAAGGATGTTACACTCTTCTAACAGCAAAGATGAGCTCCAAGTGGTTGGTTAATTTGGAAAGCAAAATTGGTTACCTATCTGCTTTGTTCTGTTGTCCTGTGGAGTTACTGAAGCGTTTTCTTCCTCTCCTCCCAAAACATTGGCTAGCAATAGAGTGGAACGCTTGCTGTACACATTAGCCGTGTACTTCCCAGCTTTTCTAGTTGTGCGTGTTACCTTTTCGGACTCAAAATCGCAAATGTCAATGTAAATGATTGATTTGGGGTCACCTGGTATACATAAACTTGTGCGCTCATAATCTGCCGCTTACATCTGTGGTCTAATGCTGTAGTTTTATGTACGATATAAGCAGTCAGTGGCATACAAAGAAGCAATTCCGTCTGCATGCCATCTCTGTGCCAGTTGCATGACCGGCTGTGTTGAGGAACTAAGCCAGGCTTGAAACTCACATGGTCATTTTAAAAAAAAGTTTTAATTTTAATTGTGTTTTGGATCCAATTTATGCTCATCAGTTGGAAAGCTAGTGCTGATACTAGGGAGGGTACATATTAAAGGATTTGATATTGCCAGTCAGAGGAGGGTGTGGACCCTGCTTTGGTGACAGAACAAGCTTAAAAATGCCTGTGAAAGCCTAGCCTGAAAGGAACTGTTAGAGTTTGGAGGAGAAAAAACAAAAAGCTATTCAAGAAAGCAGAACTTGTTACAATTCCTATGCCCTTGGTTGTGTGCAAGTTAGGATGACGACAGACATGCCTATTACTCTCAAAATAGAGTTTTGGAAATTGTTTGTAATGCTTTGATTCTTTCAGTGTTTAAGCATTTTTTGGGTTTTTTGTTTCACTAGATAGTTTTACAGCTTTGATTAAAAGTAAACAGACAGTGAATTCAAGCTCTATAATAAGCTAAAAACAAATTAATGTTTCTTCTTTTGAACCATTCTTCATTTGTAATTATATCTAGCTAAAACCTTCAGTTTGTTGTTGCACTGCGTTCGGTCGAGAGAGTCCAGTTACGGTCTTATTGTCCAGCCTCTTATTAGGGGCGGAGGGTATTTTGTGTATAAGTTGGTGTGTGTATTTCTGTGATAGCAGTGCTCTGTCACAAAGTGACTAAGTTCACCTGGCCTTCAGGTCATTTAGATTTCATCTCCCACCGATTCAAGAAATGTTCTGTTACTCAAGTAATGATGTGGATGTGAAGGCAGTTCAGATTAGTAAGGGCATTACTACTACCTCTGCTATGTGAGTATTTCTCTTGCATGTGAAATTACTTGAAATGTTTAGAGTTCCAGTAGTAATTCTTTGTCATTTGGCTTACTGTTTGAGTATATACAGGGTTCTCTCCTATTATAGTAGTTACACTGGGTTTTATCAGTTTAACCTCTGCTAAGGAGAATTGATGGCAATATTTTACAAGGACAAATGTAGTTCTTCAGAATCTCCATAACTTCCTTTTAAGTAAAACAAGAAATGTCAGAACAGTGAAGTCCTGGTCAAAGTTGCAGAGACATTGAAGATGATGTCACCCTCCAACTGTAAAATTAGACAAAGAAAATAAAAGCACCTTATGTTCCTTAGTGTTAGCATGTTCAGTGTCACATTTTAGGTAGAAGGTCAGTGTTCTTGATTTGCTTATTATTTTAAACAGCTGTTTGATTCAACAGTATCCATACTGTTTAGACTCTGGTACCAAGTGTACCATATGATCCAGTACTAATCCGTGAGAAGTATAGCTGCATGTTTTGGTCCTTTTCTTTTTCTTCTTTGGTGAACCAAGGTGAAAAAATAGATAATTTCTTTCTTTATCCCAGTGTTTGAGGGAGAAATGAAGCAGTGAAGATTTGTCTTGAGTCTAAGTTTCTGGGGTGAATAGGGGAGTGTCTTTCACAGACGGCAGTGAAATAACGCTAGTGTCTTGCAATAGGTGTCTTAAAACATAATGTAGTCAAGTGCAAAGAATAATGATTGATAATAGTCCTTGGCAAGAATGCAGCAGATACCACTGGCAAAATTTGGTTGTTAAGTTGGTTGTGTCTGGGTCCAGTAATGCTCTACCAGTCAGTAGAATGGCACTAGAAAATGATGTACAATTTATCAATTACAAATTCTTGTTTTTAAAGAGCCAGCTGGAATTCAATAAAACAAACTTTACAGTTTCAGGAAAGTTAACTAACTTCTACTTTTGAGCATGTGGATATGGAAAGATACTAAATATGATCAGTATGGTCTTAAACTAGCGCATGCACTGCAAGTTACCCTGATAGAGTTACATAGTTGATACTGCAAATGTTGGATTATTTGGAAGAAACTTATTAAAACTTAATTCTGTTTCTTTACTTCTCCGTGCTTGCATTTATCTTTGCAAATCTTAAAACTGGTCATTGTTCAATACTACTGCTGATACCTAGTTGTCTCTCAAATATTAGACTGTCAGTGAAGCAGTTGTTTTTATAGAGAAACAGCAGAATATCGTAATGTTTATGTGCATAGCTGTAACGGGCATT